ATCTCAGTGATGTGGCCTCTTGATGCCAGCCGGAGCTGCTAGAAGTAGCCATTGGCCATGCCAGGCTTACAGGAATGCTCCTTAAACGCCGGGAGCCAGATTCAGCTGTGGTCAGAGAGTGCCCCTCTCCTGCCTTCATTGGCCTTTCCCCAGGGCTGAGGTTGGCCCGGGAGGCTTTGCACTCGAATCCCAGCGCCACTTTGCTGTTGCCTCTGGACAGGGCGTCCCTAGGTGCCAGTGTAACGCGTGCTCTGTGGGAGTGCCTGGCATTTCAGAGAGTGTGGCTTGGCCAGAGCTGGCTGCTTCTCCAGTTTCTGTGCATGCCGAGGGACCCAGCCAGGCTGTAGTGAGCGAACCCATTGGATTCTCCTGTTGTGTTAGACGGTGAAGAAAGAAGACGCCTGGGAGGAGCGAGTCCAATCAAACCCCCCAGCACTCCATGCACACCTCGGGCACCATTTCTCACAGCCTGACACCAGTGAGATGGTAAACTAGCCGTTTCAGAGGCGACCTGATGAGAGAGGCAATTCCAGGGAGGTTGTTGCACATACGGTTGAGCTCTGCATCAGAGCCCGTGTGACCCAGTGGACAGCGCTGGCCTGGGCTTTGGGAACCAGCTTCTGCTCCTGGCTCTGCCATGGGCCAGCTGGGTGAGCAGGTCCCTTCCCTCCTCTGTCCCTCACTCTCCCCAGCTGTACAAATATCTGCTGCTTGGGTGAAGCGCTGGCAGTCAGACCCGTGTGGAAGAGAGCTCGGACTAGTTGGCAGGAGACTGGTCACAGCTTGCCCCAGTCAGCACAGGGTCAGCTAGCTCAGTGCGTCACAGCCGGAGCAGCTTTTAGTGACCCATGTACTGCCGCCGCGTGCCCTCTTGCCTCTGTGGTGGGCCCTCGTGTGCCGTGAGGCGGAGGCCGTGCAGACTCTGAGCTCTCTAACTCAACTAGGGGCTCCGGAGGCTTTGATTCTTAAGGGCGTCTTGCATTTCATTTTCCCCTCTGCAAGGTTTGGCTGTAGTGGAGACGGGTGTCTGCCCCTGGGAGAGGGGCGGGGAGGGGGAAGAGTGTCTGCCCCTGGTGAGGACAGGAGAGGGAGTGTCTGCTCCTGGTGCCGGGCAGTGGACTGGGGGTGTCTGCCTCTGGGGAGGAACGGGGCGGGGGGGAGGGTGCTCCTGGTGCCGGGCAGTGGGTGTCTGCGTCTGGGGGGGGGCGGGGGGGGGGGGGGGGGGGGGGGCGGGGGGGGGGATGTCTGTGCCTGGTGCCGGGCAGTGGGCTGTGGGGGGTGTATTTTGCGAGGATTATTGCACAGAGTCAGGACGCTCAGCAGAAGCTCCTCATCAGAGGGGAACGGGGGTGCATCATAACAGCTGCACCCCAATGGGCTGCGCATCCTACCCAGTGAGGACTAGCAAGGAGCCCCCGTGGCTGCACACGATGGCAGACGTGTCGTAAAGGGCTCGCTGTGAGCACACGCTGGCCCCGGCAGTCACAGCTCGGGATTCCCTGCCCCCGAGACGTTACAGTCGCCCCTGCCAGTGGCGGTAATGTCGCCTGCTGCCCGCCGTTCCCTTTGCATTGGCGCTAGTCAGGCCTGGACCCCGCTGCTGAGCCCGCCCCCAAGGGTCAGTCGGTGGCGGTGGCTTTGGGAAAGGGACTAAAGGACGTATCACTCCCGAGCTGGGCGGGGTGGAACTGAACTGCGAGGCGTGGTACACAGGTGCCACAAGAGCTGCAGCTGCCTAGTGCAAAAATACACACACGTGCCTCAGGAGCAGGCCCGCGTGGGCAGAGCGCTGTGCGGGGGGGGGGGGGGGGGGGGAGGGCGCGGGGGGGGGGGGAGAGCGCGGGGGAGGGGGGGCCGGGGAGCTGGGGGGGGGGCGCAGGGCTTGGTGCATGCTGGGGGACACCTCTGCTGTTGGAGCCTAGGCCTCAGCGGGCCCCCAGGAGTGCCTTGCCGCAAGACGCTGGTCCATAGCGGTGTGACTGGCGTGGCGTAAGGAGCCAGGTCGAGAGCCAGTGAGAGGCGCCGGTCCCTTGTCTGCACAGCTGCTCTCTGATCACAGAACCTTTGGGGTCAGAAAACCCTGCCCGTGCCTGGGGAGTGGGAGTGAGTCGGGGGGGGAGGGGGGCTCTGCTCCTGCCCAGGCTCTAGTTCTCTAGTGGCCAACCTGTGGCTCCGGAGCCACCTGCGGCTCTTCAGAAGTTAATATGTGGCTCCTTGTCTAGGCACCGACTCCGGGGCTGGAGCTACAGGCGCCAACTTTCCAATGTGCCGGGGGGGTGCTCACTGCTCAACCCCTGGCTCTGCCACAGGCCCTGCCCCCCCCCACCCCTTCCCGCCCCCTCCCCTGAGCCTGCCGTGCCCTCGCTCCACCCCCCCAGAGCCTCCTGCACGCCACGGAACAGCTGATCAGGAGGTGCGGGGAGGGAGAAGGAGGGGCTGATCAGCGGGGCTGCCGGTGGGTGGGAGGCACTGGGAGCAGTGGGCGGGACGGGAGCTGATGGGGGGGCTGCTGACGTGTTACTGTGGCTCTTTGGCAATGTACATTGGTAAATTCTGGCTCCTTCTGGGGCTCAGGTTGGCCACCTCTGCTCTAGGGAGTGTTCAGACTGTGCCCTGGAAGGAGTTTGGTTCCCCAAGCCCCCAGGAGCCAGGAAGGGAGACGGGGGCAGCGGGGTGTCCCTGGGCCCTGCTCCTATTCCTCATCCTCCCACCAGTTGTGGCTCAGGGAAGGAGCAGAGAGTGGTTCTTTGCCTGGCCAATAATAACCACGTCAGAAGTGCTCAGCGTCATTCACCTGCTGAGTTCTGGGGCACGACTCCACTTCATCTTCCCCCCTCCAAGAAAGCAGCAGGCAGGATGGAAACCGGGGACAAGAAAAGATGACAGGACGCGGGCCCTGGGCTCAGGAGGCCAAGAGAGCAGGAAGGCAGCACCGAAGGACTGTGCCCTAGGATGCAGGAGGGGACGTGAACGCTGGGTGTGGGGGGAAGGGTAAGATAGTAGCTGGAGCACTGGATTGGGAGTCAGGAGACCTGTCGTTCCCCCCCACCCCGCCTGACTTGTCTGCCTGGCTTGGGGTGCAGAGGCCGACAGTGAAACTGCAGGGGTAGGACGGGAGGGAAGCTCTGGGCTGCAGCGCAGTGGCAGGTCACTCTGTAATTGTCCACTGTGAAGCTCTGTGCACCGTGTGGCATGTGTGGGTCCCGGCTTTGCCCCGGTCTGGCTGCTCCTGGAGTGCTGGGCAGGGTTTGCGGGAGCAGAAGGAGCTGTTGTTTGGAGACGGATGGGGGGGCAGGAGAGCGTGTGTGGGGCGTAGCCTGTTCCCTTAACTTCTCTGTGGTGCTGTTAACTCCAGGGGAGTCTCCAGGCACTTGCTTGCTCAGCCAGATCCTCTCTGGAGGGAGACCCAGGAGACAGGCCACAAGCAGTTCCAACACCAGGAGTTTTCTGGGGGAACGAACAACCCCACGATGGTCTCCGAGCTGGCGGTCTCCGTTCTCAGAGAAGCCGTTTCAGTTTACAAGGCACGTTCCTTAGAATGTATTGTTCATTTGGTCAGTGACTGTCCTGGAGGCATTCTGGGCCATTCCTCATTGCTAACCCCCAAGATCCAAAGCGGCCATCAGACCTGGAGCACACACCCCACCCCAGAGCAGTGAACCCCAAGCCAGGCCACCCTGTATGAGCTCAGCGCTGGTGAGAGCCGCTGCCCGACACAGCCTCTGTCCAAAGCAGAGAGGGCTTGGAGCATGGGCTGGGAGGTGCTGCTTTCCCCTGAGGTCAGCCCAGCTGCCTTGGGCTCTCCCCGGGGCAGCAGCCACCACTGCCCTGAGGCTGGGTCTCCACGCATCCTTCCTCTGCGTGTGTGAGATCACCTGCCCTCCTGTCTGTCAATTGCTTGCTAGAGCACCAAACCCAGGGTGCCTGCCCCCTCCCTTCCGGAAGGGCCCCTCAGCTGGCCTCTGGGCTGGATCCTTCCTACACCAGAGGGAGACGAGGCACAGCTCTTGTGCTGTGCACCCTGCTAGCCCCAGCGGGATGCCTGGCTGACCCTTCCGACCTGGCCACGCGTGTACGGAGCAGGCTGTTCTGGCTGAGGGCCGCGAGTGGAAGCAGGGGACGTGGCTAGGAATCCTGATGTTGTTCCAGGCTCACCCTGTCCCTGAGAGCTGCATGTGTTGGACTCAGGCCAGAAACAGCTTTTCTCTGCAGGCATTGTCCCTTTCCCCATGGCCACGGGACATCAGCACAGCCCCTGACGGGGCCGGAGCCCGGGCCTGCCTTTGCAGCAGAGCCGCTGTTTGAGGAAGCCTGGATCAGGTTTCATCCACTCTGCACTGGCAGCCTGTAAAGTGAAGGATTAGCTTTAAATTAGCCGGTTGCTTTGCAAAGCTCTTGTCAGAGAGGGGGACTTGGCTGTCTGCAAGGCCTTCCCTGGACCCTGCTCCTGGTAGGTGTCTGTGTTCTGAGGGACCTCCCTTCTGCCAGAGCCCCCTGTCCTCCAACTCCAGCCAGCCAGCATGCAGCACCCTGCCCCCGGCTCTCTTGGGCTGGTTCTGCTGTACTCATTATTCTGTCCCTGGGACGGGCTCTCAGGATCCTCACACGCCTGGGCCTTGCTGTCAGAGAGACAGTCTCTGTCTATGGCGGGGAAATGCCCCGAGAAGAGGCACACCAGGCGTTAAACACCTGGGCCTGTCCCTGGGGACGGAGCTCCTCCAGCTGCGTGGCGGTGGTGGAGACGGCTGCATAGGGAATCGGGCTCTTTCCCAGGCTGGCTATCCAGAACGCGTTCGTGGCGCGGCGCGGTGTCTGCCTTGCTGCTGCCTAAGGCAGGACGTGTGTCGGTGAGGAAGGCTGTGTTCGCTGGTATTGGAAGGTGCTGGCGTGAAGAGATTGTGGCGGCAGAGCTCAGGGCGGCTGCGGGCGGGAGGTGAACGTGGGGCCCACACATGCACACTGGGCAGGAGAGTGACTCGCTTCTTGTCTCTTCCTTTCAGTCCTGGACGCACAACATCCAGCGAGAGAAGGAGTTCCTGCGGAAGCTGGTGAAAGCCCGAGTCATCACCGACCTCACCAGTGGAATCTGAGTTGTCCCAGACCCCGCGTCAGAGGGAGGCGAGAGACGCACGCTACAGCTAAGGGAGCAGGCAGTGGGAGAGCCACACAGGAATCCCCACTCAAAGGAAACACAAGAAATGCACAGGTGCTCTGGGAGAGACTTTCCGGATCTCCAGTCTGCACCAGTGCTGCACCTGCTGCATCCCTCATGGAGCTGGCAGGGGAGAACTGGGAGTGGGGCTGAGGGCGGTTTCTTGATCTCAGCTCTGCAGATAGAACTTTTGAGTCTAGAATTAGAGGAAAGACTGAGGCGAGAAAGGAAGACAGGTCAGTGACCCAACGCAGAGAGTGCCAAACAGGAGTGGTGCTGGCCGGGGCAGCACCGCCTGAATGTACCAAGTAGTATTTTTTAAAAGAAACTTTGTTGAATCATGCTAATAATATCACAGTACAAAGCGGAGACTGGCTTGTGCCCCCCTCCAGCAGAAGCCTGGCCCCACACGCAGTCCGCAGCTCCTGGCCTTAGTCCTTGCCCTGGGAAAACAACTCCGGCCATGACTGTACTCCTGTTGGTGCTGCTAGAATTGAAAAGGACAATGGCCTCCGCTGGTCTCCACACAGGGCTGCTGGTGGGAGCTGAGCATGGGTTTGTTTTTCTGCACTTCCCTGGCTTCCTGCATAGAAGCTGCAGCTGCCATTCATCCAGCTGCATTTTCCACCGCTGGTTGCTCCACCCTGGCTCTGCCTTGACCCTGAGCTGGAGCCAGGAGCCAGCTTGTGTCCTGGAGGCGTGGCAGACAGGCCCCTGGCGCCGAGGGGCGTTCGGCCCTCGGTCTGAGCCGGCCGGGCCCCGCGCCGTGGGCAGGCGGATCTCTGTTCAGCGGTACCAGGGTTTCTCAACAGTGTCATACTTTATTTGTATGTGGGGAGAGGGATAATTTATTTTCTGAGTGAGGTCAGAGGTCATGTTGCGATCCAAGCTTCACAGTGTTCAGCAGCAGCCAGCTACAGCCGTGTTAATGTTCCACACCTGGTCTTGTTCCCTGCTAATGACTCCTTGACGATGGACCCCCCTGGCGAGGGGCAGGGGAGTGACCTGACTGGAAACCTTCACTTCTCGTCCCCTCCCCGGGCATTTCGCTTTCTTCATTTCCTGGCTGCTCCCACGCGGCTGGGCCGCTGCTGCTCCATTGCTGTTGTCAGCGGGGTACGAGCGTGTCCGTTACTTTGGCATGCAGTATTTGCACATTTGGGTTCTGTACCTTCTGCAGAGAAGTTGGCAATAGACTGAGCAAAGCAACCAGGCTGGGTGGGGAGAGAGCTGGCCTCAGTTATTGTGTGTCTGTGCAGAAGAGGGGGGCACTTGGGAGGGGATGTAACTAACCTTTCCCTCCTGTACTGTAATGTGAATACATCAGGCTGGGCTGTGCGGCAGCGTGTGCTCTGGATCTGAGCCCCAGGGCAGAAATGGACTGGCTACTGGTCCGGGATAACCTGGCCCCACTCTTCTCCTCCTGCCAGCTGCACTTCTTGTGCTGGTTGATTTGGGTGCTGGGGAGGAGGCCATGCAGAGGTCACGAACCCGAGGCAGAGAAGGTGGATGGGTCACTGCACTTTGCCTTGGGGGTCCCTGTAATTCGTTTCCAGAGGGCTCAGGGTCTTGCTCTGGATTGCAGTGCGAGAACTTGGTTCCAGGAAGTGTAACTAACCCCAGGACAAGGGGCACTTGGAGCAGACCAAAGCTTACAGCTCGTCTCCTGCTCCTCCAGCCTTCCCTGGGGCAGGGCTCGTAAACGTGGCGAAGAGGTTTACCAGCGCAAGACACACTGCCTGGGTCAGAAGAAAGAACCAGAACTGGGCGAGTTGAGCTGAGAGAGTGGGCTGGTGCAGTAGGTGCTGTCGCCTGCAGGGGGTAGAGGCACAGGCCTGGTGAGACATGGCTTTGGGTGCTGGCATGGGCTGCCCTCAGCAGCGCTGCGCTTCTGTGCTCCGAGCGTGAGCTGCCTGCTCAGATCACTGCAGGGAGACCGAGCTGTCTCCTTGCAGCTCCCAGTCTTGGACAGCACCTCGGCTTTGTGTCCAGGGCTGCTCCCAGCGTGTATTCTCTGAACAACTCGCAGAGGCCTGGCCCTGTTCCAGTCCCTCGGAGACAAGGCAGCTGGGGGCCCTTTCCTGCTCCTCTCTGGAGGGTGGGTCGGTCTGTCTGAGCCTCCCTGCTTTCTCTATTGCCTCTGGCTCTCAGTCCATCCCTCCCCGTGCTGCTCGGAGGAGTTTGCAGGACACTGAGCTTGTGCTGTGGTGGGAGCTCATTGGAATATTCTCCCGAGTTGTTTTTCCTGTTCCATTCAGCCCAGGGATTGTGTTTCAGTAAATGCCACACGCAGACGCTCACACTACATTTCCCAACCTTCCAAAGCAACCCTGGTACGTGAGGGCAGAGTCCCCAGCCCAGCCCTCCTGCTCCCTCAGCCTGCCCTGCTCCGAGGGGCTCCGGGCACCTCCACGTGCATCCTCCCTCGTGCATGCGCTACAGCACAGTGGGAAGCGCTCGCCCTGAGAGCTTGGGAGCTTTGTCCACGTGCTCTCCAGGCCGGGCCGTACTCACTTCCCTCCCTCTTGTCGTGTCAGCGCCGCGGCTTTGACGTTGTTGTTACCTTCGCGGTAGGGCAGGACCCAACCAGCCGGGGAGTGCAGGTGCAGAGAGCTGGCTCAGGGCCCGCATCGGGCACTGTAGCCCAGCCAGCCGCAGGAGATGCTTTCCTCACACCTGTGCCAGGCAGGGTGGCGATGGATCCGAGGAGAGGGGCTGCTGGCCCTGCCTACCCGATAACATCAGTATTACACAACAGGCATGCGTGCTGGCCCCCTTCCCTCCCTCTGCGATTGTCTGACTTCCTGTATAGCACATCCCCAGACCAATTCCTGCTGCAACCAGGGCAGCTCGTAGCAAAACTTCCCCTCTAGATGTGCAAGTTGCCAGGCCAGGGATGTCAGGAAGGGAAGTGACTTCCTTTGGCTCACCCTGTTCTTCAGCTGGGTCTCCTGCATAGCGCCCTGCTCTTGATGCTGCTTAGATAGGTGATCAGTCCCCCAAGGCCTCTCCTGCCCTGGACGGAGCGTAAATACGCTGCCCCCTGATCCTTCCAGTGCCAGAGCAAGCCAGCCGCAGCCCCGTGTGTGTGTGTGTGAGGAAGGGACCCCGGGGGCAGTTGCCCCTCAGCGAGGTTCTAGGTGGGTTTTGTGAGCGATGATCGTGCGCGCCCTTCCTGCCACCTCCGGATCCCTTGATCCTTGACAGGTGCAGAGACTGGCAGCCTGTAGCCCTGCTCCCGCCAGGCTCTGCAGTTACGGGGCGGCTGATCTAGATCAGCGGAGTGCTGATCACGACCCGGGCTCCGGTACGGTAGGTGCAGGAATAGCCGGACAATCCCTGCCCCGATCTCAGCGTAAGCCGAGAGACAATAGCTGGATACGGACAGACGAGGGAGCATGAGGAAACGGGGGACATGGGTCCGCATGAGTGGCCCTGGGCTCAGCACACCAGCAGCCTCCCCATAACCATTGACAAGTTGCTGGTAGACGTCACGGCAAAGGAGAGTTTTAAGAGGGACTTTGCCCATGCTCGTCGCCACAGGAGTGAGTGTTATGCCAGGGCTATCACCATACAGGCCTGTGCCCGCTGCCCCTCCGGCAGTCAGGACTAAGGAGTTTCTTCTCCTTTCCTCTACCCACGGCTATGCTGCCAGCTTGCTGGTTCCCATGTGTCTGAGTCCAAGGTCTCACCACGGCTGGAGCTGGCTGTACGCGGTACCAGTGCGGCGCGATGCTCGGGAGGGCCGGCGGCACGGAGCTGGCTGTACGCGGTACCGGTGCGGCGCGATGCTCGGGAGGGCCGGCGGCACGGAGCTGGCTGTACGCGGTACCGGTGCGGCGCAGTGCTCGGGAGGGCCGGCGGCGCGGAGCTGGCTGTACGCGGTACCGGTGCGGCGCGATGCTCGGGAGGGC